GAAAAGAAGTCTCTGTTACCATGGTTACTCCATGGCTATCAGTCTGAAAAGAAGTCTCTGTAGAAAATGTGCAGTCTCTACAGGGCAGAATGTTGAATAAAACCCTTTACTGGCGGCTGGTCCTTCTGATTTATAGATGACCTGGAGCCAGTGGGTTTGGCCACGAATATGTAGTGAGGGCCAGCCAACGAGAGCGTACAGGTCACAATGGTGGGTAGTATATGGATTCTTTAGACATTCAGAATGGTGAAAAAATGCATGCTAAGGGCAAATAGAGTCGCTCTACAAATGTATTACTTACCCAAACACAGTGGGGAACAATGCTTCTACGCCGTCAGAGAAGGGCTAAGGATTTATAATAATAACTATTGTTTTCAATGGCGTTCTGTTTTAATCGCTTCAGTTTTTGTTGGAAAGTAAAGGATTAACAATGAAAAGAAAATGATCCAATCAGGATCTTTATTTGGTCGTCTCTGGGGAGATAAATCTAGCTAGCTACTTCAGCCATTGGCTAGGCCATCAGAAGCTAAATACATTTACATTTTAGTCATTTAGCAGACTCTCTTACCCAGAGCGACTTACAGTTAGTGAGTGCATACATTTTTTATATTTTTTCAATTTCTTTATGGCCCCCCGTGGGAATCGAATCCACAACCCTGCCGTTGCAAGCGCCATGCTCTACCAACTGAGCTACACGGGACAGGTACACCCTTTACTGAGACCCGGTACAAATAGAAGGCATATGCCATTCAACTGTATTAGGGTAAAATTCTGGCGTAACAGTGTCACTCAAATTTTGCCCTAATACATTTGGGACCATTTTTACAAAAAACATAAGGAAACTTCTGCCATGTTGAAGGCCAACAGGTCACTGTGCAATAGCGAGGTAGTTTTCCCACGGTCTAGCTAGCCATCTTTGTTGTAGGCTAGTTTGCAGCAGGTGTTATCAAAGAGGATGTTGCTAATTTGTTAGCTTCTCCCTTTTCAAGATTAACTTTCAACAATAAGTTAACCTTTAACAGCAGTAGGCTGAATCAGAGTCACAGTGATTTTTGGTAGTTTTGTTTCAAAGTAGATTTGTTTAAATGTATTCACCTCACATGGTTGAGCTTTAAAAAAATGAGTTTAAATGTTTTGTTTGCATCCCAGTATTACACTTAATATGCATGACATGGAAACACCTGATTTTTGTTGTTTATTGAAATAATCTTTAAGTATAAAATTATGAAAAATATTAACATTCCGCCAAAGAGGGCGCTTTCGTTCATTGACTGCAGGAAAGGGTTGTTTCAAATGATAATCATCTGGTGAGTGGAACTGTGTTTTTCAGTTTTTGCTCAATCTGATTGGGTGGGCGTCTGGTTGGGTGGGCGTGTCCTGGGTCCCCTCATGCTTACTCCCCTGATGCAAATGGCTCATGACTGAAATGGCACATCACAAACAGCTAACGAAAGCCCCAATGGTAATTAGGGTTAGGGTAACTAACCAAGCTGCCCTATCAGCATCACCAACCTGTGGCACTCTAAAGGCCTAGGTCCAATAGGTTTGCGACTGCGCAAACATTTTCTATAATTGATATAAAGACTGTTCAGGTGTTAATGTTTCAAGAAAGGAGAGTATGTATTTGTCCTGGCAAAGCGGTTTTATGCGCTTATTGAATGGAAGCTGATAATTAGTAGGTTTTGTTCTCGGCTGGTCTCGGGAAGAAATGACCAGTCCTCACTGTTTGAGACAGAGTCAAGACGAGTACAAATGTATCTGACACGGAGACAAGACCAAGAGACTTGACGTGGTCTCGAGACCGGTCTCTGGTACTAGAACAGACGTGGTCTCGAGACCGGTCTCTGGTACTAGAACAGACGTGGTCCCGAGACCGGTCTCTGGTACTAGAACAGACGTGGTCCCGAGACCGGTCTCTGGTACTAGAACAGACGTGGTCCCGAGACCGGTCTCTGGTACTAGAACAGACGTGGTCCCGAGACCGGTCTCTGGTACTAGAACAGACGTGGTCCCGAGACCGGTCTCTGGTACTAGAACAGACGTGGTCCCGAGACCGGTCTCTGGTACTAGAACAGACGTGGTCCCGAGACCGGTCTCTGGTACTAGAACACTGCCAGACGCTATTTTCAGTCATATGGCGGCAACATTATGTACAAAAAACGTTAAGATCAGCGCAAAAAAACACACAAAATTGCATAATTTTTCACGAACTACTGAACAAAGAACATATCTCAGCTTATAAGGCTTGTTTTTTCAACACATCTGTTACCCTTCGGTGGGCACGCCCTTCTCTGATGTTACCCTTCGGTGGGCACGCCCTTCTCTGATGTTACCCTTCGGTGGGCACGCCCTTCTCTGATGTTACCCTTCGGTGGGCACGCCCTTCTCTGATGTTACCCTTCGGTGGGCACGCCCTTCTCTGATGTTACCCTTCGGTGGGCACGCCCTTCTCTGATGTTACCCTTCGGTGGGCACGCCCTTCTCTGATGTTACCCTTCGGTGGGCACGCCCTTCTCTGATGTTACCCTTGTCCCTAAGTCAGTATATCATATCCATCAATCATTCTAAGATAAACCACCAATAAGCTCCCTTGACATAATGAAATGCAGACTGTGGCACCAAGCCACTTATCTACTAACTTTAACCTGGTTCACACAACACTATGAAATGACATAACACTGTGAATGCTAACAGTTCCTTCGTTGGAGGACAACCCCATGTTTTCACTGAATTATGTTTTTGTTGAAGCTCCATCAGCCTGTGTGAAGTCTGGCTGCCAGCTCTGCCTTCCGACTCTGGACCAGCCTGCTGGGTTCACCTGTACCTGTCCTGATAACAAGCTGCTCATGACAGATGGCTCATGTGAATGTATGGTCACCATGTATTACATAATTAACTCTAACCCTGTTTCTTGCTCTGCTAGTTCTGGCACTTTAGAGCATTGGTTGAGCAATGTACTTGTTGTTCAAACACACAGATCCCAGGTTTGCTTATGCAACAGCCACAACACTGAACCTGTTGGAGTTGAAAGGGAAGGAGCTGATCAAGACGTTGCTAATGACTACGGATGACGTCATGGAGTCTTTTGACATCGACTGGAGGAGGGACTGGGTCTACTGGGCGAACAGCACTGGTCATGTGATGCGCAGGAGCCTCAATACCGGACAATCAGAGACTGTCCCCACACTGAGACCAGGTACACCCTTTACTGAGACCAGGTACACCCTTTACTGAGACCAGGTACACCCTTTACTGAGACCAGGTACACCCTTTACTGAGACCAGGTACACCCTTTACTGAGACCAGGTACACCCTTTACTGAGACCAGGTACACCCTTTACTGAGACCAGGTACACCCTTTACTGAGACCAGGTACACCCTTTACTGAGACCAGGTACACCCTTTACTGAGACCAGGTACACCCTTTACTGAGACCAGGTACATATAATGGAGCCATATGGTGCAGGTTTCGTGTTTGTGCGTGTATATGTATGTACACTGAACAAAAATATAAACGCAACATATATAGTGTTTGTTTCATGAGCTGAAATAAAATATCCAGGAAATGTTCCATATGCACATAAAGCTTATTTCTCTCAAATCGTGTGCACAAATGTGTTTACATCCCTGTTAGTGAGCATTTCTCCTTTGCCAAGATAATCCATCCACCTGACAGGTGTGGCATATCAAGAAGCTGATTAAACAGCATGATCATTACACAGATGCACCTTGTGCTGGGGACAATAAAAAGTGACTCTGGTGCAGTTTTGTCACACTACACAATGCTACTGATGTCAGGTTTTGAAGGAGCGTGCAATTGGCATGCTGAAAGCAGGAATGTCCACCAGAGCTGTTGCCAAAGAATTGAAGGTTAATTTCCCTACCATAAGCCACCTCCAATGTTGTTTTAGAGAATTTGACAGTACGTCCAACCGGCCCCAAACCAGACCATTTGTAACCACGCCATCCCAGGACCTCCACATGGCATCTTCACCTGTGGGATCGTCTGAGGTGTAGTGAGGGGCCGGGGGGGTACTGAGGATTATAAAAGCCCTTTTGTGGGGAAAAACTCATTATGATTGGCTGGGTCTGGCTCCACAGCGGTCATGTGGTCCTCTGTAGCTCAGCTGGTAGAGCACGGCGCTTGTAACGCCAAGGTAGTGGGTTCGATCCCCTGGACCACCCATACACAAAAATGTATGCACGCATGACTGTAAGTCGCTTTGGATAAAAGCGTCTGCTAAATGGCTTATAATATTATTATTATTATTATTATTATTATTATGTGAAATCCATAGTTTAGGGCATAATGAATTTGTTTCAATTGACTTTCCTTATATGAACTGTAACTCAGTAAAATATTTGTAATTGTTGTTTATGTATGTATATCGAACATTAGGAAGACCTTCTGAATATTGAGTTATGTTGGTCCATTCCCTCTCCTAGCCTGTTCTGGTCGTCTATATTCATGTTGTGCCGTCCTTGCCTCTCCTAGTCTGTTCTGGTCGTGTATATACATGTTGTGCCGTCCTTGCCTCTCCTAGTCTGTTCTGGTCGTGTATATACATGTTGTGCCGTCCTTGCCTCTCCTAGTCTGTTCTGGTCGTGTATATAGTCTCCCGAGTGGCGCAGTGGTGTAAGGCACTGCATCACAGTGCTAGCTGTGCCACTAGAGATCCTGGTTAAAATCCAGACTGTCGTAGCCGGCCGCGACCGGGAGACCCATGGGGCGGCGCACAATTAGCCAGCGTCATCCAGGGTAGGGGAGTGAATGGCCGGCAGGGATGTAGCTCAGTTGGTAGAGCATGGCGTTTGCAATGCCAGGGTTGTGGGTTCGATTCCCACGGGGGGGCCAGTATGAAAATGTATGCACTCACTTAACTGTAAGTCGCTCTGGATAAGAGCGTCTGCTAAATGACTAAAATGTAAATGTAAAAATGTATATTCATGTTGTGCTGTCCTTGCCTCTCCTAGCTTGTGTGGTGTCAGTAGACCAGAAGATGAGAAATCTGTACTGGCTGTCATGTGACGAAGTCTGTATTGGCGTCACTAACTTGGATCAAGGTTACCCCCGGAGACTGTACCAGGCAGGCAGTGAGGTAAGCGATGTTTATCTGGACTGGCAGCGGGGGAGGCTGTACTGGCTGGAGGCCGGCTGGATCCTATCCATGAGACTGCCAGGAGGAAACCCTAGGAAAGTCCTGAGTGTGGATGGACACGTCGCTGGGCGCGTTGTTTTGGACCTGAAGTCCAACACACTGCTCTGGAACACAGAAGGGGACGGTCAGTATCACTAACTGCAATGTTATCTTTAACAGTGATTGTTCTGTCTCCTGTAACGCTTTTTCTTGTGCTCCTCAGTGTAGGGCTGGTTCTGTTTAGGAAGGATCATGTGGGGTGTAGGGCTGGGGGTGTAGGGCTGGGGGTGTGGGGCTGGTCATGGGGAGCGGTGCTGGTCGTTGGGGGAGCCGGGCTGGTCGTGGGGGGCGGTGCTGGTCGTTGGGGGGGCTGGTCGTGGGGGGCGGTGCTGGTCGTTGGGGGAGCCGGGCTGGGATGGTCGTGGGGGGCGGTGCTGGTCGTGGGGGGGGCTGGGCTGGTCGTGTGTGGTGTAAGGCTGATAATACTTTGAGGCATTTGAGCGGATGACTTTTGTCAAGTTGGTGACCATTGTTGGTCACCAACCTTTTCAGTGTTGCGTTACGGGAATACAAATTCTGTCTTGTCAACCAATCATTTAGGGTGTGTGTTTGACCCACGCGAACGCGACCAAAGACGTGACTGAAGTCCATTTATGTCGCGATATGTGAAATGTTTAGCCTCACCAATTGATTGTACAATGTACACATGTATTTGCAGTTTGTGTGGGTGATATGGGGGTTGGAGAAGTATTTATTTTGACATATTAAATAAACTTTTCTAAACCACTGTGCCTTGCTGTTGGAAAACGACATCCGTGTCTGACTTTGGGTTGTCGCAGATGCACCTCACCTGACTTGGCTCCTGGACTTTCATTAACAGTCGGTTGCGTTGGCCTTACCACTCAAACAAGCTCTGTGTGCTCCCTGACCCTGTGTAGATCTGAAGATCATGAGTCTGTTGAAGTCCCAGACTCACCTGGCAGGTAGAGAGTGGAATGTCCCTGGTTCCATCATGGCCGCTCACGCTCCGCTCCTCGTGTCGGTGTTTAATGATGTCATCACTGTGTGGGACCGGCGGGACAGGAGGCGTGTCCACGACGTCCCTGTAGGAACAGGCGTTGTCAGGGTGATCGTGGCTCTGATGGATGTAAACAAAGGTTAGTACATTAGGATCAATGTATAGTGAACAAAAATGTAAATGCAACATGCAACAATTTCAGAAAACAAGCTCCGACTGGGAAATTGTTTTGAACAGTCATCCAACTCTGGAACTCGGGCCTCTTTCTAGAGCTCTGACTTTCTGACCTCAATATCACGGATGTCCTGATTTTACCTCGTAGTTCCCAGTTGTCTTGAAAGCACCATAGGTGGTTAGGGTTAGGGTAGTTCCCAGTTGTCTTGAAAGCACCATAGGTGGTAAGGGTTAGGGTTAGGGTTAGGGGTTAGGGGTAAGGGTTAGATAAGGGAACCATCCCTTCACCTCATTTTGTTATAGCATCTTTGGTCTGACAGACGATTATGTGTGATAGAAGGTCAACAAACATGGCACCCTAACCCTAACCCATAGCTGGCAAGTGACTTAGCATTAGCGTCATATCATCATTACAACCTTCAAAAAAGTATTTTAAACATGTGTCCATTACAATCTATGCAAGAATCGGAATGCATGATTTGTCACCAGTACTAGAAAACGTGAATAAAACATTATGCTCCATACATACGGCGTGCTACAGTAGAAACGACAACACAATATACAGAAACTAAGGCTCTGATAGGAACGCACATGTCCAAAGTTATTAGTAAGGAAAAGCACAATGAAGGCAATGCGGGCGCCATTGAAAAGGTTTGCAAGGCCTGTTCTGCCTAGAGATGCGCAAATGTCTGCATACTTGATCTGGGGAAACACTGGGGAAGTGCTTGGGCTCTTGACGAAGAGAGAAGTTCTCAGTAAAGCCTCAAACAAATTGTCCGCAACAGTGAAATGGGCTACTTTGTATGTGAATTAATTCAAACTGTTAAATAAAACTTGTTAGAAAATAATTAGAAATTGACAAGTTGAAACAGCCTATAGATAATTAGCAGGCAACTGTTGTGCAACAATCACATTTTGAGTGCATTCTGACATCGTACGCATAAAAAAAACTCAGACCCCTTCCCTTTTTCCACATATGGTTACGTTACAGCCTTATTCTAAAATTGATTAAATTAAATGTTTTCCTCATCAATCTACACACAATAACCCATAATGACAAAGCGAAAACAGTTTTTTAGAACTTTTTATTTATAAAAAAATAAAACAGCATATTTACATATGTATTCAGACCCTTTGCTATTGGACTCGTAATTGAGCGCAGGTGCACCCTGTTTCCATTGATCATCCTTGATGTTTCTACAATTTGATTGGAGTCCACCTGTGGTAAATTAAATTGGACATGATTTGGAAAGGCACACACCTGTCTATATAAGGTCCCACAGTTGACAGTGCATGTCAGTGCAAAAACCAAGCCATGAGGTCGAAGGAATTGTCCACAGAGCTCCGAGACAGGATTGTGTCGAGGCACAGACCTGGGGAAGGGAATCAAAACATTTCTGCAGCATTGAAGGTCCCCAAGAACACAGAGGCCTCTGTCATTCTTAAATGGAAGAAGTTTGTAACCACCAAAACTCTTCGTACAGCTGGCCGCCCGGCCAAACTGAGCAATCGGGGGAGAAGGGCCTTGGTCAGAAGTGACCAAGAACCCGATGGTCACTCTGACACCGCTCCAGAGTTCCTCTGTGGAGATGGGAGCACCTTCCAGAAGGACAACCATCTCTGCAGCACTCCACCAAATCAGGCCTTCATGGTAGTGGCCAGACGCAAGCCACTCCCCAGTAAAAGGCACATGACGGGCCGCTTGGAGTTTGCCAAAAGGCACTTAAAAGACTCTCAGACCATGAGAAACAGGTTTCTCTGGTCTGTAAACAAGATTGAACTCGTTGGCCTGAATGCCAAATGTCACATCTGGAGGAAACCTGGCACCATCCCTACGGTGAAGCATGGCGGTGGCAGCATCATGCTGTGGGGATATTTTTCAGCGGCAGGGACTGGGAGACTAGTCAGGATCGAGGGGAAAAATGAATGGAGCAAAGTACAGAGATCCTTGATGAAAACCTGCTCCAGAGCGCTCACGACCTCCGACTTAGGCAAAGGTTCACCTTCCAACAGGACAATGACCTTAAGCACACAGCCAAGACGATGCAGGAGTGGTTTCGGGACAAGTCTCTGAATGTCCTTGAGTGGCCCGGACTTGAAAACGATTGAACATCTAAGGAGAGGCCAGAAAAATAGCTGTGCAGCGACATTCCCCATCCAACCTGACAGAGCTTGAGTGTATCTGCAGAGATTAATGTGAGAAATTCCCCAAATACAGGTGTGCCAAGCTTGTAGCGTCCTACCCAAGATAACTCGATGCTGTAATCACTCCAAAGGTGCTTCAACAAAGTACTGAGTAAAGAGTCTTGTATAAATGTGATATTAAATTTTTTTAATGCATTTGCAAAAATGTCTAAACAGGTTTTGTCATTATGGGGTATTGTGTGTAGATTGAGGGGACAAAAACAATTTAATCCATTTTAGAATAAGGCTGTAATGTAACAAAGTGGAAAAAGTCAAGGGGTCTGAATACTTTGCGAATGCACTGTATTTGGAACTCGCAAGTGAAAAGGTTGCCTTTCATTGTCCCCAATCAGCTGTTTAATCACCTGTCAGGTTGATGGAATATATTTTCTTACATCCCTATTAGCATTTCTCCTTTGACATTTGTGCACAAAATATAAAATAAGCTTTTTGTGTGGAACATTTCTGGGATTTTCTTTTTTCATCTAATGAAACATCGGACCAACACTTTACATGTTGCATTTATATTGTTCAGTGTGTTTTAATTCAGTCTCGGGGGGGAGAGATGGAGGTAAAGGAAGGTTAGTAGGATCATTAATGTATTTAATTCAGTGTGACCATCGTTTGACGCTCTTCATCCCAAAAAATTGATTTAAATGGATGTGCATGTTTTCAACTCAGTGCCTCCTGCTCAGCCAGTCCATCAGTGACGTATCGAATCAAATTAAATCAACCTCCTTATGTAACCTCTCTCCCTAGATTCTAACAAGGCCCTTCCTCCTGTCCAGCCAACTCTGGTTCAGACCTGTACTAGTCCATCAGTGATGTGTCGGGGTTCAACATTGTGCATCTCCCAAACTCAGCTGTGTGATGCATGGAGAGACTGTCCTGATGGTTTTGATGAGGAGTCCTGCATTACTAAATGTCCAAACGGCGGTAAATATATGACTGCTTTCTGATATTTGTTACCTCTTTGCCCCCCAGAAAACCCCTTAAACCCTCTTAGCTTTCTTCATGGTCCCTCCTATGTGTGTCTCCCAGGTGAGTTCCGATGTAAGGACAGGAGGAGGTGTATTGAGAGGAGTCTGGTTTGTGACGGACGCTCTCATTGCAATGACGGCTCCGATGAGGTTGGCTGTCCAACGATAGCTGCGCCAACATCCCAGGCAGCGCCGCTGAAGTGTCGTATGGGCTCTAGACTGTGTAAGGATGGGAGAGAGTGTGTCCTGCACAGCCATGTTTGTGATGGAGAGGTGGACTGTAAGGATGGATCAGATGAACAGGACTGTGGTGAGTCTGATTTCTGACTGTTTCCACCTTGGTCAGTCAGGACGTTTTTCTAAATCGACTAAGTGTCTGACGTTATTCAGAAAATGGCATGATGTCCCAACAATGAGGAGCCGGACAGAACGGCCATTTACAGTACATGGTCAACAATGTGGCAAATGTTTTCCAATGTTTTTTTGCAGGGCTGTCAGAGTTAATCAGTTAACTCAAGTTAACCTTTCTGCAATTTTTGTATCGTGATTAAGCGCATTGTCAAAATACATCTCAAATCTACAATGCCATGTAAAAACATGTTGACATTGCGGTTAAAGAAAGTGTGGTTTCTCAAATTACCTAATTTTGCTAACCGTTACTTATGACAAAATCAAGACGTCAATATTCTTGTAATGTTTTTTTTTGGGGGGGGGGAGTTTATCAAAATAAATCGAATGCAGCACGTTAACTGATTAAGTACAATACCATTGGAAATTAATGTTGACATTATATTCATAAAACGTAAGTAAAAAATTATGCTGTCGCTGCTTCCTGTTAACAAGACATAATGATAAATAGCCTGTCAAAATCAACTAATATGCAGAGAAGGTTCTTGATATATTGTAAAATTTACTGTGCAACAATAATCATATGACATATTTTTTTTAGGAGTACCTTATAAACTGCACATGCACCAAAAAAAACGTGTCAATTGGCAATTAATCACTCATCGATTATTGAGGGGGGGAGAGATTATATGCGATGTTGAAACTACCACAACTCAAAAACCACATGGAAACTGGATATATTTCTACATCACTTATTAAAGGACAACCTTCGGAACAGTCCGCTATATTTTGGGATGTAGCATTTTGATGGGGATAACAAAAACAGGAAGTGGAACCCAACACTTTTTCATTTTGACTCAAGTGGGTCGCCAACGAGGCAAGTGTAAAGCAATACTTTTTTAAATCACTTCCATCGATATCACACTGAAATCAATAGATCAGGGGCTGTTTTAAATTAACACTTTTCAAAGGCCACACGGAAACTTGGATTAACCTATACATGGTTGGAAAGATTGTAGAAGGCTTCTATTTATATCTTGGAATGGCACATTTTGATTTCGGGAGGCTACATCACCGGAGAAGGGAATATACCACTTTCTGTTAAGGTCAACGAATCCCAACCCGCCATAGGAATATCCGCAGTGACAAAGGTCGGCTGTTACTTAAGTGATCCGGGCGCCGACGAAGATGGCGGCCTCGCGACTAGCTCTTAGGAAACTTTGCGGTATTTTGTTTTATGTATTATACAAGCTCGACGAACTCCGGGCAAGGATTTCTTTCCAGAGAGACATCAAGGCTTGTAACATACTTTGTTTCACGGAAACATGGCTCTCTGGGGATATTTTGGCGAAATCAGTCCAACCAGATCAGTTCATTGCGCAGACAGGAATGAATATCTCTCCGGGAAGCAGAAGGGCGGAGGTTTCATGATTAACGACTCATGGTGTAATTGTAGTAACATACAGGAACTCAAGTCCTTTTGTTCACCCAACCTAGAATACCTCACAATCAGTACGGTCGGAATTTATCTCCCAAGATAATTTTCTTCATTTAAAGTAACGGCCGTGTATATCCCCCCCCCCCCTCAAGCCAATACCACGATGGCCCTCAAATAACTTCACTGGACTTTATGCAAACTGGAAACTACATCCTGAGGCTGCGTTTATTGTAGCCGTTGATTTTATCAAAGCAAATTTGAGGACTAGGCTGCCAAAGTTCTATAAACATATCGACTGTTGTACTCGCGCTGCTAAAATCCTCAACCATTGCTATTCGAACTTCCGGGATCGTTAAAAGGCCCTCCCCCGCCCTCCTTTCGGCAAATCTGACCACGACTCTATTTTGCTCCTCCCTTCCTATAGGCAGAAACTCAAACAGGAAGTACATTACATTTACGTCATTTAGCAGATGCTCTTATCCAGAGCGACTTACAGTTATAGTGAGTGCATACATTTTCATACGGGCCCCCCGTGGGAATCAAACCCACAACCCTGGCGTTGCAAACGCCATGCTCTACCAACTGAGCTACACGGGACTACCTGTGCTAAGGACTATTCAACGCTGGTCTGACCAATCGGAATCCACGCTTCAAGATTGTTTTGATCACGCGGACTGGGATATGTTCCGGGTAGCTTGCGAAAAATTATTTTAAACCCAGTCACCGCTTCAGTGTATTCGTCTATCAGGAAGTGTATAGGTGATGTGCCCATTGTGACTATTAAAACCTACCCTAACCAGAAACCGTGGATAGATGGCAGCATTCGCAAAACTGAAAGCACGAACCACCCCATTTAACCATGGCAAGGTGACTGGGAATATGGCAGAATACAAACAGTATAGCTACTCACTCCGCAAGGCAATTAAACTGGCTAAACATCAGTATACAGACAAAGTGGTGTCGCAATTCAACGGCTCACACACAAGACGTATGTGGCAGGGTCTACAGACAATCACGGACTACAAAAAGAACCTGCCACGTCGCCGACGTCACGCTTCCAGATAAGCTAAACAACTAGACCGCTAGACTCCCCGTAAATAAACGTTCAGTTACAATCTGTAGCTACTCGGTTAATGTTACAAGGCAGCTAGCTAGCTAACACTTGCCTCCTTATGCAGTGACCAGAATGTGGTCCTCATTGCTTGGTTCTGGTGGTAAATGCTCGAACGTTACATTGCTCACCCATCCACAGACAATGTAGTTGTGGCTACGATTGCACCGACTTGTAGGCTTTGAACTCTTGGCAGGTGGATGCAGTTATTGTGTTGTGAATAAAGTATAGAGTTCACAATGTCAGGGTAGGTGATTGTTGGTGAGTCAGAATGATCAAGAACTAGGTTAATCTTGTCTCATTAGGGTCCAAACCAACAATGTTACAGTCTTCACAACGCCTCATGAATCGTTTTGTCTTTGTACTTTGCAGAAAGTTGGTTGCCATTGTAACTTGACACTTGTAATTTCCCCATGTGCTAACATAGAGCACTGTTAACCTTAAAGATGACTATAAAAATGGCTGCCACCGGGCCAGCAGTGAGGTCACCAAATTCTATCAATTAAGTTCTAATATAAGGAGTGGTTTCATGGACACGGATTAAGTCTAGTGCTGGACGGAAAATAGCTTAAAAATGAGAATTTTCAAATTATCTTTTCGGAAACTTCTAACAGTTCATTAGACTTGTTCTGGGTAGTCTGTAAAAGGCTTGTGCTTTCCTTTCCATTATCTTGGTTACATTCTCTCCCTACAGGGTCTCCAATTCCAGTTACTACCTCTAATTTAGCTCCAACTACAACCAGTCCAGATATTCTTCCTGCTCAGCCAGTTTGTACCAGTCCATCAGTGATGTGTCGGGGTTCAACATTGTGCATCTCCCAAACTCAGCTGTGTGATGCATGGAGAGACTGTCCTGATGGTTTTGATGAGGAGTCCTGCATTACTAAATGTCCAAACGGCGGTAAATATATGAATGCTTTCTGATATTTGTTACCTCTTTGCCCCCCAGAAAACCCCTTAAACCCTCTTAGCTTTCTTCATGGTCCCTCCTATGTGTGTCTCCCAGGTGAGTTCCGATGTAAGGACAGGAGGAGGTGTATTGAGAGGAGTCTGGTTTGTGACGGACGCTCTCATTGCAATGACGGCTCCGATGAGGTTGGCTGTCCAACGATAGCTGCGCCAACATCCCAGGCAGCGCCGCTGAAGTGTCGTATGGGCTCTAGACTGTGTAAGGATGGGAGAGAGTGTGTCCTGCACAGCCATGTTTGTGATGGAGAGGTGGACTGTACGGATGGATCAGATGAACAGGACTGTGAGCTGCTCTGCAAAGCAGGTCAGAAGCTCACCTCTTGATCTGGTTTAATGTGTTTAATCATAAGTAGCCCGTTCCAGTACAAATCCATCCCTTTATGTCAACGTCCTAAGTTCAGTGCCAGTGATCTCATTGGTTCCTTCCTCTCAGGTCAGTTCCAGTGTGCTCATGGGAAAAAGTGTATCGACCAGCAGCAGGTGTGTGATGGGAAGGCCCAGTGTCAGGACCGCTCTGATGAAATGGACTGCTTCAAGCCCACCAAGAGCTGCAGCCATCGCTGTGACAACAAGAGCCGCTGTATCCCAGAAACCTTCCTCTGTGACGGAGAGGGAGACTGTGTGGACGGCTCTGATGAGGAAGGCTGTGGTGAGACACTGCTGACTCACTGGGACAGTTGGCACAGAAGGATGAGGAGGAGAATCTCTTTAAATGAATCTAATGTAACCTCTCTCCCTAGATTCTAACAAGGCCCTTCCTCCTGTCCAGCCAACTCTGGTTCAGACCTGTACTAGTCCATCAGTGATGTGTCGGGGTTCAACATTGTGCATCTCCCAAACTCAGCTGTGTGATGCATGGAGAGACTGTCCTGATGGTTTTGATGAGGAGTCCTGCATTACTAAATGTCCAAACGGCGGTAAATATATGAATGCTTTCTGATATTTGTTACCACTTTGCCCCCCAGAAAACCTGTTTAACACTAGAACCGCCTGGCCTTTCAACATAGACGTACTAGCCAGAGAATGTTGCCGGGCATTGCCTTTAGCACCAGATGCATATCAACCCACAAAGTGCACAAACACAGGCACCAATGCTTGATAAATAGTTCATAAACTATTATAAAGGATTCATTGCATGTGGAAATATATCCATAAAAACAATGGTTATTCGTTTAGGGTCAAGGATATGTTTTATATAATTCTACGAAGTCCTTGAATAAACGTAGGCCTAAATAAATATATAAATAATGTTTTAGTTTCACTTACAATAAAAACATTAGTGTAATCCATTTGATCAACTTTATTTGTAGATTCAATTATAGTAATTAAGTCCAGTTACAGCTTCTTTTGATAAAGTAAAAACGAAGATGATATAACCAGCCAGGTCACAATTATTCCTAAACAAAAGCACCAGTGCATGAACAATTGTAAAGGATGAACTTGCATAAATACATTGTTGACCAGCAGCAGGAGAGATCATCATGGACATGGCAAGTGAGCTTCATGAGAACCACATGGAAATATATTCATGACAAGACGTAAGTCATTTGTTGATTGTATCAGACACTGTATTGTGCCTTTTTATACCCGTGCCTTTACACATTAATCAGTCATGTCTTCTCTTTATGCTTCGGGTCCACAGTCAGCACACAGCTTCAGAACTTTGTGTGAGCAAGCCCCACAAACAAATCTGTTGCACTGCACAGCTTTCATAGGCCTGGTTTCGTGTGCACCTGCCGACTTGACATTATGATATTTTTCCCCGAGTGAGAGCTGTGGTGCTTGAGGAAGAGGACGCGCTGCTGACTTGGTGGTCTGCTTGGAGGCTGTAGCTTTTCTTGGCGTTCATGTGGTTCATATGAAGCTCACATGCCATGTCCATGATGATCTCTCCTGCTGCTGGCCTTGTCAAGGCATTGCTTGTACAACACGTGCACATTGATATCAGCCATGATGAGCACGTTGTAGAGCACCTCAACAAGCCAGCGGTGAGTACCTCCTTTTAAAGAGTACAGTCTTGCCATCTGGTGGAGTGCATCCACACTAACCGATTGCATTAAATAGGTTAGAATGATATAGAATAATATTAATGTAATATCATATTTGGTGTTTGGCAGATGAAAGGCTATCTGTACATGCCATATATATATATATATATATATATATATATATATAGAGATAGATAGATAGATAGATAGATAGATAGATAGATAGATAGATAGATAGATAGATAGATAGATAGATCTAGATAGGTGTGTATGTAGTCTGTCACAGTCTCCGGTTTCTTCTTCTGGTCACTGCCGGTGGCAACAGTGATGCATGGTGCTGAGGATAAAACACTTTTATTTATTTGACATCTGTACACCGTGAGTGTTACTTTACCACTGTCCATCACTGATTGGAGTACAACTCTGCTGGTATGTTTTGCTAAGAGGGGGGCATCTCCCGCCTTTGTTTGTTCACTGTTCCTAGCAGGCTGGTCTTTGTTTGTTCACTGTTCCCAGCAGGCTAGTCTTTGTTTGTTCACTGTTCCCAGCAGGCTGGCCTTTGTTTGTTCCCTGTTCCCAGCAGGCTAGTCTTTTTGTTCACTGTTCCTAGCAGGCTAGTCTTTGTTTGTTCCCTGTTCCCAACAGGCTGGTCTTTGTTTGTTCACTGTTCCCAGCAGGCTAGTCTTTGTTTGTTCACTGTTCCCAGCAGGCTAGTCTTTGTTTGTTCACTGTTCCCAGCAGGCTAGTCTTTGTTTGTTCCCTGTTCCAACAGGCTGGCCTTTGTTTGTTCCCTGTTCCCAGCAGGCTGGTCTTTGTTTGTTCCCTGTTCCCAGCAGGCTGGTCTTTGTTTGTTCCCTGTTCCCAGCAGGCTGGTCTTTGTTTGTTCACTGTTCCTAGCAGGCTAGTCTTCTTTGCGATCAACTTCTCTGCAGGGAAATTGATGTGAAGAAGTTGTCCATGGCCACATTTCTGCCTGGTATTACTGGTACCTGGTATACTGCCATATTTCTGCCTGGTATTACTGGTACCTGGTATACTGCCATATTTCTGCCTGGTATTACTGGTACCTGGTATACTGCCATATTCTGTAAAGCTCCACAAGTCTCCAAACCACAGTCTCAGACAGTCGCTCACCCGCTGGCCAGGTTTCATCTTTCCCCTGATGAGAAAAGCCATTGAGCAAGTACTTACATTTTTACATTTTAGTCATTTAGCAGACGCTCTATCCAGAGCGACTTACAGTTAGTTAGTGAGTGCATACATACAATTTTTTTATTTGTATTTTTTCATACTGGCCCCCCCATGGGAATCGAATCCACAACCCTGGCGTTGCAAACGCCATGCTCTACCAACTGAGCTTACATCCCTGCCGGCCATTCCCTCCCCTACCCTGGACGACACTGGGCCAATTGTGCGCCGCCCCATGGGTCTTGATTGTATCTTGATTTGGACATCTGCGGCTAAGCAAAACCTAAATTACAAATGTGTCCTTTTTGTTGACCATGTATTGGGTTAAACGGCACCGAGCTTTGGTTGGGAACATTTGTTCATCAACAGTTATGTTCTCTCCTGGCTTGTAACAAGCAATGCTGTTGAGACAATGACTTATCAATGACCCAAGACCAGCTCAGTTAATCCCTACCATTTGTGTTGCTGAGTCATCATGTTTTAGCAAATGTACATTATACCAGGGGCATTGGTGGACACAATGTAAGTAACATCATTTATGTCCTTCTAACTGCCCTGAATGCCTCTGCTGATCCTACAGCTGTTGTATGCAGCATTCATGTGTCTATGAACCAGATTTATACTGTTAGCACTGAGGCGGTGTGCCCTAGTAGGAAGTCCACTGTGTTCAGCTCACCCTGCACGAACATTAATAACATGAGAATATCTACCTCTGCTAAGCTTCCTAGTAAAGCAATAAAAACAAGCATCCCAGAAGAAAAGTGTTCAAAATAGCCCACATTAACATATGTAGCTTAAGAAACACTGTTCATGAAAACAATAATTTGCTAGTAACGGATGACATAAATATTCTGACTATCCAGAAGGCGAGGTCAGTACAGGTGCATCAAAGCTGGGACCGACAGAATGAAAAACGGCTTCTATCTCAACGCCATCAGACTGTTAAATAGCCATCACTAGCACATTAGAGGCTGCTGCTGCCTATTGAAATCACTGGCCACTTTAAGAAATGGAACACTAGTCACTTTAATGTTTCCATATCTTGCACTACTCATCTCATATGTATATACTGCATTCTATTCTATAATATTCTACTGCATCTTAGTCCATGCCACTCTGTCATTGCTTGTCCATATATGTATATATTCTTAAATTCCATTCCTTACTAGATTTGTGTGTATTGGGTATACAGTTGAAGTCGGAAGTTTACATACACCTTAGCCAAATACATTTAAACTCAGTTTTTCACCATTCTGACACTTAATCCTAGTAAAAATTCCCTGTCTTAGGTCAGTTAGGATCACCACTTTATTTTAAGAATGTGAAATGTCAGAATAATAGAGTGATTTATTACAGCTTTTATTTCTTTCATCACATTCCCAGTGGGTCAGAAGTTTACGTACACTCAATTAGTATTTGGTAGCATTGCCTTTAAATTGTTTAACTTGGGTCAAACGTTTTGGGTAGCCTTCCACAAGCTTCCCACAATAAGTTGGGTGAATTTTGGCCCATTCCTCCTGACAGAGCTGGTGTAACTGAGTCAGGTTTGTAGGCCTCCTTGCTCGCACACACTTTTTTAGTTCTGCCCACAGATTTTCTATAGGATTGAGGTCAGGGCTTTGTGATGGCCACTCCAATACCTTGACTTTGTTGTCCTTAAGCCATTTTGCCACAACTTTGGAAGTATGCTTGGTGTCATTGTCCATTTGGAAGACCCATTTGCGACCAAGCTTTAACTTCCTGATTGATGTCTTGAGATGTTGCTTCAATATATCCACATACATTTCCTTCCTCATGATGCCATCTATTTTGTGAAGTGCACCAGTCCCTCCTGCAGCAAAGCACCCCCACAGCATGATGCTGCCATCCCTATGCTTCAAGGTTGGGATAGTGTTCTTTGGCTTGCAAGCAACCCCCTTTTTCATAACGATGGTCATTATGGCCAAACGGTTCTATTTTTGTTTCATCAGACCAGAGGACATTTCTCCAAAAGGTACGATCTTTGTCCCCATGTGCAGTTGCAAACCGTAGTCTGTCTTTTTTATGGTGGTTTTGGAGCAGTGGCTTCTTCCTTGCTGAGCGGCCTTTCATGTTAGACTTGTTAGACTACCAGACTTGTGGAGGTGTTTTTCTGAGGTCTTGGCAGATTTATTTTGTAAAGAGGCACTGTGTTTGAAGGTAGGCCTTGAAATACATCCACAGGTACACCTCCAATTGACTCAAATTATGTCCATTAGCCTATCAGAAGCTTCTAAAGCCATGACATCATTTTCTGGAATTTTCCAAGCTGTTTAAAGGCACAGTCAACTTAGTGTATGCACACTTTTGACCCACTGGAATTGTGATACAGTGAAATATTCTGTATGTAAACAATTGTTGGCAAAATGACTTGTCATGCACAAAGTAGATGTCCTAAACGACTTGCCAAAACTATAGTTTGTTAACAAGAAATTTGTGGAGTGGTTGAAACACTTAGGTCATTAAAACTTGTTTATGTAAACTTCCGAAATTGTTAGATATTACTTGTTAGATATTACTGCACTGTCGGCGCTAGAAGCACAAGCATTTCGCTACACTCGCAATAACATCTGCTAAACACGTATGTGACATAACATTTCATTCATATCTGAAACTCACTTATACAATACCTTTGATACAGTGGTAGCAATACAAGGTTATAACATTGACGGAAATGGACGTGTTGCAGTTTATATTCAGAACCACATTCCTGTAAAGCTTA